TACTTCCTTTACTTCGGATAAGGAAGTAAAAAATCTGATGTGTACACCACATGACTTCCTTGTACGGAATATTAAATTATACGCATTTTTTCTTGCATTTCATTTAAACGTATTGGATTGAATTAAATCTACTTCGCCGACAGCGCATAAACCACAATAGAATAAATGCATTCTTTAAAATTCACTCTATTTGTTTACCATAGCGACACTCTGGCGCTAGGTTCACTTAACAGTATTATATTTCGTTCATATTATAACTCATAATGCACAAAATTTATATCATTTAAAGAATAGAATTATCTAATCGTTGTCACATGTTCTATTCAAATACTATAATAAAGCTAGAAGGATGTGTAAAAGAAATTAAGCAAACAAAACAAAAAAGAAACAGTTTTTACAGACGATTGAGTATTTCTCATTCAATTAATTCAGTTCTCACTTCGCGAGAAGGCAAAAAAATACATAAAAACTCAAAATATCTATATTAAAAATTACGAAGTAAATCTTAAGCACTCGTTTCCTCGAAAAAATTCCAGAAAGGATTAAGCCTGATTTAATTGGCAATAATAAATGAAGGCGTTATCTTTGTTGTTGCGAAGCTAAGTTTCTCTAGATTGGCAACAAATCCACTAGTTTGCTGTTTCAAATGTAAACAATCAGTGGCCGCCATGAAAATAAAGGCTTAGCGGCACTTAAACAACTTTAAAATTGTTGATAATTCTAAAAATATTGCATACAGATTTACTAAAGGCATAAAAACCTTAACCGGAAGATAAGAACAACATAATTCAATAATTTTTAAAGCAAAAAATGTACAATTTACAAACATATAAATGTAGAGACTGAGATCACTGAGCCGGGTAACAGAGTGTATATATGTAAACGTATTTATATACGTTTGGTGCGGCCGATTGCAACCAAAATACGAGATGCACATCTACATGTTATAGTAGTCCTATATGCAAAATTTCAACGTTCTGAGGCTACTCGTTTTTGAGTTATGCGAGATACGTACGTACATACGTTCGTACAGACGCCACAAACAATTCTCTTCAGAATTCATTTTAAAGCAGGTTTATAATTTTTTTTGAGGAAACGAGTTTTTTATTATGTTCTTACGTACAGATATCATGCAAAACATCGTTAAATTGCATTCGATAGCGGTCAAAATGGATATTTTCGTTGAAATATGCTGCCTGAAACTTTTCGCGATTACAATACTTATTTTTTACTTCGTTCAAGGAAGTAAAAAGGAAGATAATTTCGATAATTATTAAATGTACCGTGCATCTCTTGCATCTAATATTTTAAGGAATATTCATCTAATATTTTAAGGAATATTCATCTAATATTTTAAGCAAATTTAATATATTTTAAGGAAAATATATTAAATTTGAATATTTTCGTTTAAAAGTTAGTATTATGTCATTGAACTTAAAATAAATGTCACATCATAGTTATCTTCTAAACATCCATCTCGTTGAAGCATGATATGGAGGAATTCTTACACCAAGTGCCAACTTAGTTCTCATTTTCTGTGAATAGATACTTCTATGTTTCGAAATCTTTCTATAGTTTATTAATCATAATTATAGCGAAAATAAAGATCTAAATTGATAAAGTAAACAACATTAAATGCCCTTATTTTAATTTAATATACAGAGACAAACTCAATTATTAGAAAAGCTAAACATTTTCCCCAGTGAAAAACGATTGTTAGTGTATTATCATATGAATGTTTTTATATAAGTTGGAAAGCCTATAATGTTATGAATAAGTTAAAACGAATTTATAACACTTATTAAGAGCAATACGTTTTATAGCATCCTGTTTTTCTGGAACTATATCTGAGGAAAAAAGAAAAATGAATTCTAAGCTTATCTTTCGAAACAAGAATATTAATCTATTATATGCTTTTAAGTTCTGATTGTAATCTAATCTGACGTCAGCTCCGTGAATAAAAACCAGGACAAAATTCTTGATATAAGTGTCTTACAAAAGAATGCTTAAATCTACTGAAATAACGGATAGGAAAGAATAATGTAAATTCAGAATTTAGTCAAATTTCAACTTCAGGTTAAGTTAGTTTTATTGAAATTTGGAATTTTAACGCTAACTTAAAATCTAAAATGAGACAAAATACAATTTTAGGTGGACACCAATTTTATAGAACACAATCCTGGCATAACTCCGCATTAGACTTCTTCAAATTCATAACATTTTTCTGTGAATTTTAAATATAAGGTTGGGATTAGCTTAACTATAGTTACAGAGCTTTTCATGAATTTTGGTGATAAAACAGATTCTTTATTTTCAAGTTATGATGTTGGGAGGCCCCAACTTGTCAGCGACAATAGTAGTGACTGCTATGAACTGGAAATTACACAAACTCGTAAGAAGGGTTTAAATCCCTTTTTATTTCACTTTAGAAATCACAGTTGCGTTCACTTGACGCTCAGAAACTACGCCGATCCGGCGGTTGAACAAAATAAACAAAAATGCAACTAAAAATAAATGACAGGATGAATAAATAACGAAGTCACTACCTACGAGGCTCTATAATCGTCTAACTTAACCGCGTTCTAAGGTACAGCTGAGATTCAGCAAACTTTCTGATTAAGAATTTGAAAGATTCAACGAACTGCCGAGATAGGCACACAGGCCGAAACGCGCGGTTCTTAAATTTCTACCTAGCAACCTTCACGCTCGTGATTCAAGAAGCACACTTACAATCTCGTTTCCCTTCTATTTAAACTCAATTTACTTCTGCTAAAATTTGAATACACTGCGCGTTCTACTATAATTTACATACTCTGGCATTGGCAATTCTAGGGGAAAGTAAAGGCTTGGCAGGAAAGATAGCTTAAACTTAAAATAAATGTTAGTTAAAATAAATATAAACCCTATAAAGTAAACTAAACATATAATTTTTTTAAAGAAAATTATTAACTTGTTAAAATGAGGCATTATAAATAAAAATTACGGTTACTTTCCTTTAAGTAGAAAAAAATTTAAACGGGACATTTTTCTTATTTATGTAAAACAATACTACGAGTTTTAAAATCTGCTGTGGTATGAATATTCATAAACAGTTAGTAAAATTTTACAGTGTTTCTTACTTATTTAATTGCATTACCCAATCACATGGAAAACCAATGCTCTGTTTACGACATTTATGGTCGAAGATTTGTGATAGTAGAATTAACAACAAAAGAAAAAGGTATTTTTGATATACTTCTGGAAAATATTCGTAATAAATATTAGAAGTTTTGATGAACCAAATCAGACGTGAAGATCATGTGAAACTGAAATAATGTCGTAATTAAAACTTTTATGACTATTTTTAGGTTTTGCTTTTTAAAATTCAGAGTGAAATAATAGTCAAATAGTTTAATTTATTTATTAAGAAAATTTACATAAATAATAAATAATAATATAAAAAAAAACTGAAATGTTTCAGATTTTAAATTACATCCAAAGGGACTTTTTTAACATTTGTGTTACCTTTACTTATTAAATATCACGTTCTTCGCATATAAACCTTAAAATTCAGTTCAAAAGCAATATCCAAAAATAATTTTAAATTGAGCATATCTTTAGAATTTCCGCGCTGGAGATAAAAAATGTTTTTTTTTCTGTACAACGTTGCCATGGCTCGCTTTCAAATCCATGAGTTTGTTAATCAAAAATTTGTTAAAGTTTTACAAAACATGAAATTGATAATAAAACAAATTTCAAATTTGGGCTTCCAGGTACCCATATTCGCAGTAAGATTACGTCATACAAAATTGGATGGCTTTAGGTATACCGTTGTTTATCACAGTGCGAGAAATACGCATACATTTATGCAGATTCTTCATTATTTAATTTCTTCAAATATAATAAAGGTTGATCATATTGGGTGGCAACAGTTTGAAAAATGAAACGGACATTCAGAGTGATTTCGCAAAACGAAAACTATAGTCCTTCTGGGACAAGGCCCATTCGGATTAAAAAAAAAAAAAAAAAAAAAAATCTGAAATGTTTCAGATTTTAAATTACGAAACGGACATTCAGAGTGATTTCGCAAAACGAAAACTATAGTCCTTCTGGGGCAAGGCCCATTCGGATTAAAAAAAAAAAAAAAAAAAATCTGAAATGTTTCAGATTTTAAATTACGTCCAAAGGGGCGTTTTTTAACTTTTTGTGTGTTACCTTTCTTTATTAAATATCATGTTCCTCGCACTTAAACCATAAGATCCAGTGCAACAGCAATATCGCAAAATAGTTTTAAAACGAGCATTTCTTTAGAATTTCCGATACAGAGACTCACGCGCTGGAGATAAAAATGTTTTTTTCCTGCACAACGTTGCCATTGCTCGCTTTGAAATCCTTGAGTTTGTTAATCAAAAATTCGTCAAAGTTTTAAAAAATAGGAAATCGATCATAAAACAAATTTCAAATTTGGTCTTCCACATGCTCATATTCGTTGGAGGATTACGTTATTCAAAATTCGATGACTCTATGTACCGTTGTTTTATCACAATACGAGAAATATACATACATTTATGCAGATTTTTCATTATTTAATTTCTTCAAATATAATGCAGGACTCTAACATTTTGTGGCAACAGTTTGAAAAGTGAACCGACATTTATGAGTCCGACGCAAAATGCCAAAACGAAACTAATAGTCCTTCGGGATTCAAATCCCTTTGGATTAAAAAGAATAAAAACTAGATGTGGTAATGATTTTAATAACATTTTAAAGTCTGCATGACTTATCATCTATTTACGAGATAACTTTAAACATCTCCCAAATCAGCAGCTCGTCGAAGACTGTCGCTGACCACACCCCATCCGCATCTATTAAAAGAACGTCGTTTTCGTAAAATCTTCGCAGCATATCGTTTCCGTAGAAAGAATCTGGTGTATCACAGCGGGAAATAAGATGTTCGAATAACAATTCTCCGAAAGGCATTTCTACGCGGCCGATATAAAAACTCGCGATTTCCGTCACATACGCGTGTGCATTAGAGGAGCCGTGAGTCTCAATGTTTGGATTGAATCAGCTGTCCCGATCACCGCTGGAGACCATGTCCAGTGCTGTGGAGAAACAGAAGCGACTTTTGCCGCTGTTCCAGCATGTGTCTTTTTCTACAAGGGATAAATTCGTTATGCGGGTGCAGCGAGACCCACGGCTCGCTGGCTTGGGTATCCTGGGCAGAGGAGTCCTTTTCTCGTGCTTCCATGAAGACCATTTGCAGGAAGCTACTCAACTGTATGAAGTTCTTCTCAGTATGTACACACATTCTTCTATTATGTTTAAGTATTAGATTCGTGACTGCGTGCTTTCTAATGCCATATCATGCATGGGCAGGGCTTAATATCTGACCTTAGAAGTGCCAGAGACCTATGGATCACGGTCAGGAAGAAGGGGAAATAAATATATGAAATAAGTAATAAAATAATTCGGTATTAAAAATTACTATATTGAAATTTAAAATAATGTAAAGAGATAAATAAAAATTAAAAAAAAAAAAACTTATTATAAACTGCTAAATAAAATACCGATCTTCTAGAAAAAAGAAGGATAAAAACTTTTAATTCTAAACAGAAACAAAATGGTTCTACTGTAGAGCATATTATTATTATTATTTTATTTAGTTAAAACAACAGATAATGCCTCATATGATCGCATTAACATTTTAATAATTTCGTAGAAATTAAAGCACGATAGTGATAGCAGTGGATTTTTCTGCTTATTTAAAGTTCAAATGTTCAGTTTCAGTGATAGACAAATTGAAATTCAAATTTTTAATTAACGCTATTCTGTTTCAACATACTTGATACAAATTTATATGGGGCTAGTTAAAATTGCATAATTAAAAATAGCCGTATGAAATTAAACGCATAAATATTTAGTAATTAAAAACTTACCTATGCTAAGTCAATTATTAAATAAAATTTAATTATGTTATATAGAGAAATTATTCTTAAAAAATTATATATATTTCCTGAAGATCTGTGCAAGTTAATATCAAAAAGGGCAGAGTTTATATTTTAATCCAAGTAGAAATTACCTATGTAAATTATTTTCTGGAATTGATTGCAAAAATTTTAGTTTAGTATCATCTTCGACAATATCAATATTTATACTCAATGAAGGCTCATCTCAGTAGAGCAAATAGAAATATTAAGACACAACACGTCGAACAAATACTAATTCAGAAGTCAAACAACAAAAATCAGTGTTATATTTTCTATTAAATAGAAATACGTTCCATATACGAATATTTTCCTTCGATTTTCGTGCCTAGCAGATTTATATTCTTAAATAGTTGTTTTTATTCACAAATGAATATATGAAAGTAGAAAACATGTTTGTATTGACAGATCTATTATTAAAAGGAAGCGAACAGATTTTTAACTGTAATTTAAATAAATTAAAATGATCTAAGACGTTATAGGAAGTATTAATAAAGATGGTTGAATATATATATAATGGTGTAAGTTCAAATTTCCTTATTTGCTCAATTTTTACTTTTCAAAACAAATTACGTAGTACTGTACACAGTAACTAAAATAATATTTGAGTTTTACTATCTGAATGGACTCTACCCAAAGTAGCTTGGTTCGTATGTATAAGGAAGACGTTGTTAACTAATCTCAGAATTTAACACTCATTTTTTTCCCGATAGATGGCGACAGTAAATTTACTGACGAATGGAAAATTTTTATGCTCGCTGCTGAAGAAATCCGAAAAAAAAAAAAAAAAAAAAAATGATTATAAATTTCACTTCAAGAATTTAGTATAATATTTTACATAATTCGAAATAAAAAAAGTTTCTGCCAGCTAGGTCTGAAATTTTAGTGTGAAGGAGGTAGGAAAATTAAGACATTTGGAGAAAGAAATTAAGCCTTAATCCCCAGTGAATGGTGTCGCCATCTACTAGCAGATAATATTAATTTACGTAAAAGCAAAAAAGAATTTAATGTTTCAAAAAATGAATTGTCTCCAGTACATGGATTATCAGTACAAAACTAGTTCATGTTCTAAATCTTTTCTTAGATTTATCCGAGTGCAAGTAATGATTAAGAATGATAAAAATATTCTTTCACCATGAAACGTAAGCGTTTGACTGTGCTCTGTGATTTCAAGAATTTAGGTTTCAAAACGTATTCACAACGTTAGCTGAAATACACTATTTGAAATGCAAAATATTTTCACCTAATTACTTTCTAAATAATCCCTTTGGGAATACAAACATGTTCTGCATAACTCAGGAGATTTATGGATGTACAGGTAAAACACCCTGTTCGGTATCTTTTGGTGATTAGTCGACATTTCTTTTTGGATAGTTAGAAGCACTGGAAAGCATTCATTTTGTAGAACTATTACGAAAGAAAAAACACAGGAACTAGAGGGGAAGAAATCTGACAAATAAAATAGTTATGGCGTGACAGGGAATCTGTTTTCCTGATCGAAGACGCTCAAAATTCTTTGCACAAGCAGCAACATTGAGTTTTAAATCTCATTTGCATTTACAACACAAGCTACGCTTCTCTGCATGAAGTGACTTGATACATCACTGCTATAAAGAATATGATGAACTCAGCTTGCAACAGCTAAATTCAACTTCTTCCAGTTTCATGCATGTGACAGGCCTTTTCCAATAACTTTAACAGAAGTATATTCCGCAACCATTTAAACGTTACCAGTTAATCAGTTAAACAGAAAGTGCTTTTTGAACGTCTTGTTATGGGCGGAAGATAAAGCAGCAAATTTTCTTTTTCAGCTGCACCGACATTCGAAGAATTCTTAGATTTATGTCATCAGTGCAGAGATTACGTAAATGAAGGATTATATGCTTATGCAGTATCTGTAGCCCTGCTGCACAGAAAAGACTGCCGTGGAGTGAGCCTTCCACCAGTACAAGAGATATTTCCGGACAAATTCGTTCCGGTAGAAACTCTGTACAAAGCTTACAAGGAGACCAAGCTGCATGCGCCTGAAGATGTAAGTATGATTTCATTTGAGTGGATATACGTTTTGACATATGTGGAAATTTGATTCCTAATTTAATATCTATATTTTCAAGTCTTCAACCCTCTGACCAGAAAGGCCGTATATATACGGCTTAGAATGTTTTTTGTGATATCTGTAAGAACGTATATATACGTCTATCTTAAAATTTATCTTGTACTTTATACTCGGGTATACTGATTCAATAAGAAATTAAGGCATTATATCCAAATATAAGGTACAAGAGAAATTTTGCCATTAAAATCCAACCAAGAAAGTAATTTTTCTTATGATAGTTTTGAGAAATTTGTACTTTCTTAGCGAAACCCCGGGCTTCAGTCAAAGGGTTAATGCACAGAAACTATAACATATTCCTCTCTCTGGAAAACAGCGTAGAATTTCGAAAGCAAGACGAGAATAACTCGTCATATATTAGTTGTAATAACAATAATTAATCGTATATATTAGTTGTAATGTACTTTTTCCAATCTCAGGTTTTTTTTAAGTTATTTATTTATTATTTTAAAATTTCTAAGATTTTTCTTTTTTCGAGCTCGTTTTAGACATAATAATAACAAGTAAACAAGTAAATAAAATAAAATAAACAATGAAAAATAATAAAACAAAAAGGATTGGTAGCTAGCCTTTATGTGTTTTTTCTTTAAGCAATTAACCTAACCTAACTTTCTAGAAAAAATAAGACCATAGTTAAAAATATATAAGCTTAATAAATTGAAACTATGGGGCAAAAGAACAAAAAGGTCAAAATGTTTTGCTTCATGAGCTTTAAATGAAAAGATATCGAATTATTAGGTTAATTAATGAAATATTTAAGTAATCCTAATCATTGATATGTGACAATGAAAAAGAAATTAAACTACGAATTTTTAATTGCCTCTAAAAGATATTTTCCCCTGAGACTTCAATTCTGTAAATTGATTCCTGCGTATATGTGAAGCATTTGAAGAAAACCGTTTTGGTCGAAGAGGTTCAGAGACTAATTTGTGACTTAATCCAAATACGCAGAGTAATGAACTTTAAGATAACTGTGTAAAAATATGATAAATGCTTAGCTAGAAAAGCAAATAAGTTGCAACTTTCTTTAAACGAGAATAAAATGGTTAGCTATTTCATTGTTCAGAATTACTTTTGACAGCTAAATTCTGAAATCTAGACCAGCGATATTCAAATTTTTTTTTATCGTGTACCCTTAAGATAAAAGTAATTATAAGTTGTGCCACATATAATATAATATAATATAGTATAATATAACATAATATAATATGCATGCGCTTTAAAACCCTCTAACCGGCAAGGCCGTATATATATGGCCTAGAATATTTTTTTGTGATATCTGTAAGAACGTATATATACGTGCATATTAAAATATGTCAAAAAATGAAGGCGATATATTAAAAGTACACAAATCCAGGTATAAAATACCAGCAGAGTTTTTACATTAAAATCAAGAAAAAAATTTGTTCTCGTAGTAGTTTTGGGAAATTTATGCTTTCTTGGCGAAAACCCTGGCCGGTCAGAGGGTTAAAACCGGTGCAGTTACGCAGAGCTCCCCAGACGCAACTGAAACCAGACCCAGCGACCAGTGAGAGAACCCTGCACTTACGTAATACTCAACCAATTACTCGGGAGTGATCATGAGCCAACTTTGGCGTACACCTCCAAGCATCACTTCGCGTACCCTACTTTGGGCACTTAAAAGGTCGTGACACTGACACTTAAAAAGGCACACCAAACAGGCACTTAAAAGTGAGGTTTGATTCTAGTGTACGGTACACGCGGGTTTTGGCGACTTTGGCGACATTGTGATGAGCACTAAACGCGGTATTTATGATGAGCAGTAAACGAGCCATTTTGGTGTTGGCGACAATTTTCAAAATCGCGCTAAGACTGTGCCGTATACTAGGATTTTACCAAAAAGTAATACTACTAAGTGGTTTTCAAAAGAAACAGATGAAATAGTGAAAAATATAACCTAAACAAAAAATATTTCACAGGAGGTCATTATCAATATTGAGAAGACTGGCAATATCATGGACCCAGAGTACAACCTTGCTTACTACAGAGAGGACATCGGCATCAACGCACATCATTGGCACTGGCATCTTGTGTATCCCGCAACCTGGAGGTCGGAAGTGATCGGCAGGATCAAAGATCGAAAAGGCGAAATCTTTTTCTATATGCATCAACAAATGTGCGCCAGGTAGGATAAACTTTTCAAGATATTCGATTTGGAAGAAAAATACATAAATAAAGAATTTCAAGTTACACAGAAAAGCAGCATTACAGCTGTGTAGATTTTGAACTGAAATTCTGTAAAAATTTTTTACAAATGTGGGAAGAGCAGTAACTATATTTATAACGAAATCAGTAGGTGGAGCAAAGGAACAATGAACATACAGCTATTTGTTTAGGTAAGTTATAATGAGCTGCAATGACGGGAAAGTGGTTAGGGAAGCTGACTGTCGTACCAAAGGGCCCAAGTTCAAATCCCGCAGAAGGCATGAAAAATCGTAAGTGTATAATGTCTGTGCGACATAGGGAACTCAAACTAAATGGTGAGACGAAAGTCCTCTAGAGAGATTTTGGGTAAGTGAAGATGTGTGGGAGATTCTCAGAAACGTTCTCCAAGTTGCTCTCCTTCAAAACTGGGTCCTCAAGGGCACGTCATAGGGGGTGCTCTCCTTCAAATAGCTCTCCGACTGCCGTTGGCAAGAGCCTTAAATACCATGCAGGTGACAGTCCGAGTTAGTCGGAACTGAACAAAGTCGGCCTGTCACCTGTATGATGTCCAAGGCTCTTGGCAACGATAGATGGAATCCTATACTTTTTTCCACGTTAAAATTCGTTGGGCTTGTTCTGATTAGTTCAAACAAGTGACATTAGCCTCAACAACAACAAGCTTTTAGTGAAACATGATCGCTATTGCTTTCAAAATTTTAATATCTGAACTTAATTAGCATTTCATCTGATTTTTCGATACTTGTTTCCTTGATAAATGACGGTACGTCGTTTTCTCTTTGCTCCATCTATTAATTTCACTAGAAACATAGTTATGGCTGCTCCCAATTTCAAAAACATTTTCTATTTTGATAAAAAGGACGGTACTTTTCCGTTTTGCCGGCGCAAGCGATAAAGTGGCTAATAATGGTGCAACCGATGCCAAACGGAATATTCTCGCTGGTAACCTTTTACGCCTCATTTTCAAAACAAGTCGCAGCTTTTTCTTATCAGATTGATTGTTTCTTTCAATACTGACATATAATTACATAGAATTTTTATCAGATAGTTCAGTTTTATGTCCAAGGCCATTTTCGGTAATTAAGTCAATTAGGATGCAATCACAGCGCTTACCCGAAGCCGAAAATATAGAAAAGGTAAAGTCGAGAGTTCAATTCATCAATTCTAATGAGAATGCATTAGCGAAGTAAAGTACTGCAGTTTTACATAATTTCTGAGTAAGCTATTCGTACGAATTGAAATATTTCTTGCATTTAAACTTGTGTTCCAAATTAAGATTTAACTTGAAATTAATGTAGATAATTACTGAGAGCATTAGATTTTTGTAGAGAGTAGTTTACGTGAGATGAGATCGCTTGGGGTCACGTGATATGAACCGGCGAATCAGGATGCTGAACCATGAAAGCGTAGTAAATTCTTAAATTAATGTCTTTTTACAAATTTATTGTCTTTATTTATCGTTTTTTATAAAATTTTAAGCGATATTAAAATGTTTATGTCTTTAAAAAAAGAATTCTTAAAACTAACATTTTTTAAAATATTTTTTATGTGTATACTGTATGTTGTCGCCAATAAAGTCTGCTTGGCGAGATTTGCGCCGGCGAAATGGAAAAGTACCAAAAGGACTTATGTCTGATCATTTTCGAAATAGATAAAACATTATTCGGTGCTACTTTGGTAGACGGTTGCACGGATTTTGGCGAGTTCTTGGCAGTTTTTCTTTTGGCGAGTAATACGACTTATGGTAAACCCATTGCTGGATAAGTTATTTATGGTAACCGATACTTTGTTGACATTTTATTTAAAAAATAATGCGTGTTATTATGCATAAATTCCGTGTTTTAAATATTATTTATGGCTTCTAAATATTAAAAATCAATTTAATTTTGCATTTTTATTTGAAATAAAAATTTTATTCTTTATCATATTTTATGAAATTTTATGTGCTGTGGATGATGTAATTAGTGACGTCACCTTACTTTAAAAGTAATTGGTTTTAATATCTCTATAAATTTAATCTAAATGTTTTTAAAAACATTATTTATGGCTGTTAGATTTAAAATACAATTTAATTTTGCATTTCTTTTTAAAATGATTTTATTATGTATGATTATTTAAATAATTTTAATTCTAGGCGTGATGTAATCAGCTCTCTGATTGGTTTTAGAATATTTGTGCATTAATGAGCTGTAATCAGCTCCCTGATAGGTTGCTGAAAATTTGTGCATTACCGCGCCATTTTAAAATTTAATTCATATCTTCGAATTCCTTCAAAGATGAATGTTGTTTTTGATAAGTACCAAGAATTTTTGGTTTCGGAATCAAAAAATTGTCCTTTGAGACCTTATTTTCGCCAGCCTGGCTTTCCTAATCAAAGATTTATTTATAAATTCTTACAAGGGTCAGAGGAAATTTATTTTAAATTTTTGAAGGCAACGTCGCTAATTGTTTCTTCAATGAAGTGCGAAAATGTAGATCACAGATGAAGACCGTTAGAACAGCCGATTCTGAGACGGCCGTATATGATATTGTGGTCATGTTGGAAGAAATAACCGCTGTAACGGTAAGAAAATTATTAGACATTCCTCCTTTTTTACCAACAATAAACTAATTGCTGTCATTTTAGCTCTAGTGTACGAAGCGTTCTTATTTACTTTTATTTTAAAGTATTTAATTTAAGTAATATTTTAATTCTTTTAAACGTTGGTATGATGGTTTTTAATTTGATATTCAATTTACGTAATATTTTAATCCAATTAAACGTTGGCGCAATGTTTTTTATAGTGGTATTTTTTATTCTATTTCTATGCTATATGAAAGTAATAATTTAACCTTTCTTAGTATTTTATACTCGTAGTAAACGTATTTATTCTATATAATATATATATATTTTTTTTATAATATATATATATATATATATATATTCTATATAACGTATTTTAAAGTATTTAAATTTAATAATATTCTAATTCTTTTAAATGTTGGATGATGTATTTTATTTCGATATTCAATTTCAGTAATATTTTAATCTAATTAAACGTTGGCACAATGTTTTTATAGCGGTGTTTTTATTCTCTTCTTTGCTATATGAAAGTAATAATAACCTACTTTTGTATTTTATACTCATAGTAAATGTATTTATTTGCACTTGCCTGCCATCTTTAAAAACGACATTTTCAAAAAAAAAAAAAAAAAAAAAAAAAAAAAAAAAAAAACTTAATCCATTATTTCTAACGATATTTATTTTTTTTTAAAGTTTCGAATACTTTACTATGCGTAAAAACAGCGTTTTTCAAGATGGCTGACGTTTGTAGAAATCGCGCCAACAATTGCGCCAACGTAAATCTCCAAAAATCCGTGCAACCGTCTACCAAAGTAGCACCCATTATTCAAATTCTATACTAATGAAAGGCCGCTTTCTGCTTATTTTAATACATCTTCCTGCATTCGGAGAATTGTTTAAACATAAAATAGTGATCATGTAAATACATTTTTAACTAAAGTGTGATACAAAATCATGAATACAAGTAAAATTCTAGAGATATTTTATAAATGCTGAAATAGGCAATTATTTGCAAATATTGAAGAAAATTTAAAATAGTAGACATTCTTAAACTTACTTGAACTATGCTTATTTTGACGTAGATTTGGTAGAAGAATATTAGAAAAAATTTTAGTTTGTCTTCGACATAGAAAAGTAAAATATTGTTTAAATTCTGTTGTTAAATTAAAATTCCTTTTAGCAGTTTGAAAATTTATTAAAAACTTTTTGTCCATAATGGCAAAAATTTGAACTTAATGTGCATTAATAAATAATGTACTTACTGTTGCCACTTATTCTTGTTAAATATTACATTCCCATTGATCACAGTCATGTTTATTATTTAAAATTAATTTTTACAGCGCGTGAGCATTCCTAATAAAGGGTCATTATTTGTAAGTCTTATAACATATTTATTTAATAAAAACAGCCTATTTTTAGTTCCGATAAACAGGAATCAATAAGTAGGAATTGACTTTAATATGCGAAAAAAAACTGTATTAACATCAAGTGTCATCCACTACAAGTTTTAAAAAAAATGTATTTGAACTTGAGTGGACGAATAAAAAGTATTTTATTAACGATTGAAAATTTGAACAATATATCGGGAGAGTGTAAGCTAATAGCAGGAATTTAAAAACGTTAAAATCGCTTGCTAGCATAAAATACGCAACTTGCATCACAATATAATGCCCCGAAACATATTCCCACCATAAATAAAATACTTAATTATGAAGAAAGGTCTAACTTTTTATAAAATTCTGTATTTGACACCACTTGGTTTCATCGGTAATAAAAAAATAACCAAAAGAATAAAAATGTGCTTAAATTTCTCACAAAATAAGAAATGGTTAACATTCTTTAAAGAACTGATAAACGTAAGAGTAGTTTTTATTACATTTTCCTAATGTTTTCTGAAAATGAACCATACAACTGAAGTTTACTGTATCGGAATTGTAACCTTCTGCAGAAATGCGCCTCACAAAATTCAATACATAGAAGAATTAATGGCTAATCTTTGGAATATGGTAGTTTGGCGACATTTTGGTAAGGCGATAAAGATTACTAGCTAGGACTTTAGCAGTGTACATGCATAAAGTCAAGAGTGTGCGCAATGCCATTTTTGGGAACAATTCTGAGATGTTTTTTTTAAGTGAAAATAGGTCGACGTGTACATGGATACCGTGTATGTGCAATTCTTAAAAACGCTGCAAGCAGTGGGCGATTCTGCACTTTCTCCCAATTTCGCACCTAATCTTCGTCATGATTAAGCACTTTTGTTCCATAAAAGTTCTAGCATCAGCGTAATTCGGCTAGCAGATGTTGGAAAAAAATGTTAATTAAGAAAGAAAAATGCCTTTTCTTCTTGAAAACAAAATGGCGTCCAAAAACAAACTAGCAGGTTGCTGTAGCAGGGTTGG